TCATTCATTCTATTTTAATCACCAAAATCTGAAACTTTCCAATTTAGTCACTAACCCGGTAATGAGGATGTTACATGCAGTTCCTCAGAACTGCATCTATAAGGACTTACCCTAGGCCCAAAGGGCGTATGTTCCAACCTAAGAGAGCAACTTGGGTCCATAAGGTCTTACCCTAGCCGAAGCATAGGTGCCCACCTGAGGGGTGTGCCCTTAGGCCCATAAAAACTTACCCAATGCACATAGCAGAAGGGCCACCCTAAAATAGTATCTTAGGGTCCATAAAGTCTTACCACTAGGCTCATTGGGCCTAAGAGCGCACCCAAGGGTCGCCTTAGGTTCATAAGGAATTAATAGCTTGATCGGTGTTGAACCTATATAAGGAATTATCAGTTTGATCGAAGCTGAACCTACAAAGACTTCATACCAGATCTCAGAGTACCCTGAAGAAAAATATTTTTCAGACAGTAACCAGTGGTAGCAGGAAATCAGAGTTCATACATATATTTATTTATCATTAAAAACAATAACCAAAGAACATGTGTTAATCAAGCATGATTTAAAATATAGTAAATCAGGAATTATACTTAAATCAGATAAATCATATGGTAGTCAAATCAGAGCAAACCATTCATTTCAAATCAGAGGAAATAATCATGTGCACATGATATTTCAAACAAATGTTTAAAACAGATATATGACATACAAGGAACACACCTCACAAAAAGAATAAGTCCGGTAGATCTATCGAGCACCAGTTTCACTACGCTCTTTGACTGTACGAGAACTTAATTCATGTCAGAACAAAATTATTATCGGAGTAATACACTAAATTGAGTATTTAATAGGGTTGTAGAACTATACGAGTAATCACGGGCTCTTACGGTCAAGCGAATCGGGTCGAGTAAACGAACAATCAGGAGAATCGCAGGTACCTTAAATATATGATAACATAAATTAGCCCTTTACCCTTTAAATTAAATTAAATTAAATTAAACTAAATGCAATTAATTTAAATCACTTAAATTACATATGCATAGTCGGGTTTACGAGTCAATTCAGAGGCTTTCATGTTCGAATTTGGCAAAAAACAGACTTCGGATTCGGACTCAGAATGTCGAAAAACATAAAATATAACTTTTCAAAAATTTTGACTTTTTGGTCAAAGTTAACGGTCAAATGTCAAAGTTAACAGGTATGGTCAATGGTCAACGGACATGTCAACGGTTAGGTCAAAGCCAAATTCAATGGGTCAGGCCGGTTCGAGTTGACTCATTTCAATCCGAGTTGAATCAGACCGATTCAAAATGGTTCGGGCCTGTTCGGTCCACCTGAACCGTTTCTAGAAGGGGCCATGGTTGGAGGAGGAGCCCCACACTAGTTGTCGGCGCGTGCGGTGGGGAAACGGCCGATTCAGAGGGATCTGATTACTCCCAAAGCTCTAATTCACTATATCATCACAAATTAACGCAACAAATAGCCAAAACACGGTGAAAATATTCGAATAAAAGCGATCAGAAGGTTACCCACGGCGGACGGTGAGAACGTTGATGGTGGATGACGAACCCGCTTAGGTTTTGGTTGGACGGAGATGGGGAGTTCAGTGGCAGTGGCGATGAGGAAAGAGGATGGTCGTGGCGACCGAAAAACGCGAGAAATCGATGGGAGAACTTGAGTTTTTCGCCCTGCTTTCGAACGCTCTTCCACGGCGGACGACGTGGGGTTTCGACGAGTAGAACCCTAGGCTGCGGTCGGTCTAACGCGGTGCTTCAGTTGGTGCCTGCGGTGACACTCACCGAGGGACGGTGACACTCTCCTCCACAAGCTTTCAGGCTCTTGACTGTACCTCCACAACCGTTTATTCAGCAAGGGTCTATTTCTTATATTGATATCAAATACTCCAAGACCACCAAAATCTTTTGGTTTTGCAATATCCTCCCATTTGACCCAGTGTACTGACCTATTCGAAGAAGAACCCCAAATGAATTTAGCAACCATTTTATTAAGAGCAAAAGCAACCCCGCTGAAATTTGAAAAAGGGAAAGATAATAAATCGGTAGATTCGATAAAACAACCTTAACCAGAGTCAAACGCCCACCCAAAGAAAGCAATTTCCCTGTCTTGCTTGGAATTTTTCAATGACGGGTTTCCACATCTCTTTCGAATTACGATTATGACCCAACGGGAGCCCAAGATACTGATCGAAAAAGATTCAATGCCATAATTAATTGCAGCAGCCCAAGATTCTACTTCAGCTTCCGATACATTGATCCCAACCAGCTTGGTTTTACTAGTGTTTAGTTTTAATCCAGAAGCCACCTCGAAAATTCTCAGGGCTCTTTTAATGTTGGCAATACTCGATCTAGACGCCTCCGAGAATAAAAGAAGATCATCCAAAAATTGAAGGTGGGACACCACACCCGCAGATCCAATTGCCACTCCTCTAACAAGGCCCTTCTCAATTCACTTTCGAGTAAGGCACTAAGAGCTTCCCCGATCAAGTTGAATAGAAGCGGAGAAAGTGGGCAACCTTGTCGCAATCCTCATTTTATCGATAATTTAGAAGATGGTATACCATTAACAAGCACAGAGATAGATGCAGAGGAGACGCATGATCTAATCCAATACCTCCATTTTACCCCAAAACCAGCTTTCCGCATAACAAAGTCCAAGAAATCCCAATCAATTGTATCATATGCCTTTTTGAAGTCCGCCTTAAAAACGACTGCTGTATGCTTCAAATGCCGAACATAATCAATTACTTCATTAGTAATCAAAGCACAATTCATAATTTGTTTATTTGGAGTGAGGCAAATTGAGTTTCGCCAATAATTTCCCCAATACAACCAGCAAGTCTCGATAGTACCCTATAAGAATTTTGTAGACACTACCCATTAGACTGATAGGACGGTAATCATCAAAATTACTCGGATTTGACACTTTGGGTATGAGAACTATAAAAGAATGATTTATCAACTATACCTGAAAAGCTCATTTGTAAAAATTTTCCATGAAGCTCATGATCTCCGCTTGAGTATGAACCATAATTTTTTAAAGAAATCAATGTTAAACCCAACCGGCCCCGGGGCCCTTGACCCATTTGCTAAACGAATTGCTGACCATACCTCTTCTTCGGTGAACGGTACCTCTAAAGCTTGTGTTATTCTTCCTTTAGATTTCGAAATTCTATGTCAAACACCTTGACTGGAATAGTAGGTATCTTATTATTGGTATCCCAAAAATGATTCATAAGACTTTGGGAAATCCACTTTTGGTCATAAATAACCCGGTCACCAACACGAATAATCGAAATATGATTAATTCTACTTCTTACTTGGAAGAACTTAGTGTTCTTGTCTCCCTCTTTGAACCACCTACGGCGGGATTTTTGAAGCCATTCACGTTCTCCCCGTCTTAATCTCGACCACAGAGAGGCTTTTAAAGATTGAATCTCCTTTTGAATCACCGGATTGTTTGAGCTCATGAATTCTTCCTCTAACTTCAATATTTTAGTTTCAATAACAGAGATGGAGTCTAGATCATTAGAGTTAACCTTAGATGCCCACTGTTTTGCAGTATTTTTGGCTCTCTGGAGGACATTACAAATTCCATCACCATGCTTCTCTCTGATTGCCTTCTTTATTAAGTCCACACATTCAAGGTCATCTGCCCAATGATTGAAAATTTTGAAAGGTCGAAAACCTCGCCCAAATGCTTCTTCCATCAGAACCACGGAATTGTGATCCGATAATCCCCTAGGCAAAACTTTTTGGGTGATTGATGGAACTCCATCTAGTAGCTCTGGCAAGATTAAGAATCGATCGAGCCTACTCGCTGTGACAATTGGATTCATACGAAACCACGTGAAGGAACTGCCCGAAAGTTGAAGATCAATCAAATTATTGCTTTGGATGAATCCTAGTAGCACATTAGCAGCTTGCACATTCAATGCTCCCCTAAGTTTCTCCGATTCTGAAATAGCTTGGTTGCAGTCTCCACCCACAATCAGAGGAACGTTAATATGTTCGATCATTCCGGAGAGAAATTCCAGAAAAGATTTCCTTTCTCCCGTATCATTCGGAGCATAGACATTGAGAAGCCCACGTCTCAAGTTTCTTCCACGAAGATTGCCAATCAGAAGGATGAATCTATTATCGATAATTTTATTCTCGATTTGGAAAAACCCAGACTCCCACATTGAGATCAACCCTCCCGACGCACCATTCGATGGAGAGAAAGCCAGGTTTCCCCAACTTAACCCCATAATTTTTGTAGAAGCCCGTGTTTGATCTGAGATAATTTTGACTCCCGAAGGAAGATAACACTTGCTTTGCATTTTCTAATTACTTCATATTTTTCTTTATCAAATAATAAATTAACGAGGATATTTATTTAACATGCGATGGAACTTGGACTGCAAGGACTAAACGACAACAAGAAGAACACAGTCAACTATAACCTTGAAACTAATTCAAAGTTAAAATGAAGTCTTAAATGAGCAGAAACGTTGTAATCAACTGATCTAATCTTAGTGATTAAAAAATATTATTTTTTTAAAAGATTTAGATTCGAATAACTATATCTATAGGACATGTATATTATTAATGATTAAAAATTTATAAATAAATAGTATCTAATAATCATTTTAGACTATTTAAAAAAAATCCGTTTTGATGAAGCCTATAACAAAAACAAATAAGTCATTTTATTATGGAGCAAATAATCACAAACTTAAAAAGTATAATCCGTGATGGAAAGAACTAATACGCCGTCCAATGGTAAACCGATTCCGTATGAAAGTCCTGGTAGCCGGCCGCCTGAACCCTGACCGTGTCTTGAGAGCAGGGGCGGATACGTAATGGATGGGTATTTACTTGATAACTTCTCGTTGGACCAGCCGTCGTTTGTTTTGGAAAGAGAGAAAAAGACAACTGATCCTCATTCTTAAGTGTTTATATTATGAAGAATCCTAGTTTATTAGCAGAAGGTCAATCGGGATTTCAAGCAATACATAATGGATGGGTATTTAGTTTCAGCATACTAATAAAAATGATTCATTTTACAAATGATCTCTGAGATTCAAATGAAAAGGTAGCCCAATATAATAGTAATCGATATGTATTGGAAATCTCTTAACTCTACATATACGTGACAGATAGGCGTCAGACCAGAGGTCTCATATAGCTGATCACACTCTGTCGATAATAGCTCGGTTCGAAGCCCGGGGAGCTGCCTTTGCAGCATGTTCAGAAGCATTGGCTAGAACTTGCAACATTCTCAAAATCTCGGTTCTGTCTTCCACGTAGTATTTGGCCTTGCTACATTTCTGCCCAACGGTGCAAGCAAACACATCGGTGACCGAGGAGAGATAGGGGCCGGACATTGCTCGTATGATGACCTCAAACATGTCCTCATCTGACCTGTCATCCCCGATACAAAGAACGAAATCCGGTAGTATTCCCTTTTGTTTCATTGTTGTCAGTAGACGTTCTGCAACGCAGCCCTTGTTCACACCCTGCAAAATGAATGAAAAAAGACATAGAAATCGGGGCACAGGCCCTCTCTTTCAGCTAATAATCCTAACGTGCAGACATGTAGCTACGGCAATTAGCATATATTCTATGGGTTCGAAAATGAAATAAAAGTTTCGAGCTATTCTAAGTTCTAATCACCAAAAGCAAAAACATAAAGCAAAACATAAGATTTCATGCAAAAAACCTGCTGAAACTTCTTTTTAGCATATATTCTATGCGGTTCGAAAATGAAATAAAAGTTTAGAGCTATTGTAAGTTATAATCACCAAAAGCAAAAACATAAAGCAAAACATAAGATTTTATGCAAAAAACCTACTGAAACTTCTTTACTACAAGTTTTCACTAAGTTATACAACTCTGCCCTGCTCTGTTTCGTTAGCTAATGTAATAAATATAAAGAAGAAAGGCTAATGATAGTGATCGGTATCCCATTGAACATGTACTGCTAACCTGAGGTTTGACTTCTACAGTGTGCTGGCCACTCTTAACCGAAACTGGCTCGTTAGCAAGAACACTTTCGAGGTGATCTAAAAGTTCCTTAGCCTGGCAAAATCCAAAGTCAGGATCAGCGTCTCGGTAATTCCACACAAGAGAACTCTCTTTAGTCTCGATGGCAGAACCATCCGTTGTTTCAGTGTACAATTTCATCACAGGCTTGGCAATCTGCTTCCAATCGAAGTCCGGCACTGAGACACAAGTTTCCCAATCTGCATCATGTTTTGGCCTGGGGAAAGATAGTACAAAGGGAACAAGTCATCAACAATTATATTCTCTCTAAGCATATATCTGGAAATAGTGGCCGGCCGTTAACTGATACAAGTAATTCTCCTTTTAAATCAAACCGTAAGCAATGGCAGTAAGTCATATCAGTTCATCAAGCTAAAGCAATAGGGAAAAAACACACCTGATAAAATAACCATTTTCTGCTGCAATTCCGAGCTTCTCACAGCTGGAAAACCATTCAGTTAGGGTCTTTCTATCTTTTCCACTAACAAGGAAAACAACATTTTTGGGATCTCTGCACAGATTGTTCAAGATTCCAACAGCCTCTACATTGGGGATAGTACTTAATGAACCATTCAGCAACAAGGTGCTATCGTAATCCAAAAGAATTGCTCGGTTCTTGGTTCTCTTGTAAGCTGAAACAATATGCTCAGAAGAAAGCTTCCTAAAATTTGGATCCATAGCTACTACCCTGAACCCTAAACCGAAACCAATTCCCCAACACCGCTTCCTCAAATGATCCCCACATGCTCTCTCAAGATCCTGCAAAAAGCTGTGTGCCCAATATGCAACATCATGTGTACTCACGTACTTGTAGTGTTTCTCATGTCGCAACTGTTTTTCTGCCACGGAAAGAACAAGAGCAGAATCCATAGCTTCAACCACAGCATCAATGTTCCATGGATTTACTCGAATTGCCCCACTCAGAGATGGTGAGCATCCAATAAATTCAGAAACGACCAGCATACTCCTTTTTGGTGCCGAGGGATGTAGCCCTAGGGCCTCATCTAGCTTTTCGTTTCCTTGTCGGCATATAACATACTCATATGGTATAAGATTCATCCCATCCCTCACTGCAGTAACCAGACAGCACTCAGCAATAACGTAATAAGCAATCCGCTCGTAAAACTGGAGACGGGTATCAATCAAAACCACTGGATCATACCCCGGTCTTCCAAAAGCATTATTAATTCTCTTCACTGTAGCATAAGTTTCAGACCGGATCTCTTGTACATCTCTTCCTCGGCCTCTTGCAGGATTTGCAATTTGAACCAAAACAACTTCACCTGTATTCTCAGTATGTTGCATGAGCAATTGTTCCATGGCCAAAAGCTTCAGGCTGATCCCCTTAAAAATGTCCATGTCATCAACCCCAAGCAGAACAGTTTGACCCCTAAATTTATTGCGTAACTCAGCGACCTTAGCTTCAGTCTCAGGAAGATTCAGCACAGACTGGAGCTGTCCTATATGAATCCCAACCGGAAGGATCTTAATACTCACTGTCCGACCATAATATTCAAGCCCAATGTAGCCACGCTTTGACTGATAAGGAAGACCAAGCATTCTGCTACAACAAGTGAGGAAGTGCCTGGCATAATCAAAAGTATGAAACCCGATGAGGTCAGCGTTGAGTAGTGCTCTTAAAAGCTCTTCTCTTACAGGAAGTGTCCTATATATTTCAGACGACGGAAATGGACTATGTAGGAAAAACCCAAGCTTCACCCTATTAAACCTCTTCCTCAAAAATGTCGGTAACACCATCAAATGATAGTCATGAACCCACACATAATCGTCATCGGGGCTTATCACTTCCATCACTTTGTCAGCAAAAATCTTGTTCACGGAAACATAAGCTTGCCAAAGGGAGCGATCAAACCGACCACCAAGATCTGGTGATAGAGGAAGCATGTAGTGAAATAAAGGCCAAAGATGTTGCTTACAGAACCCATGATAGAACTTAGTAAAAAGCTCGGGAGGGATGAATGCCGGGACACATTTGAAAGATTCAAGCAATGTTTGGGCCACATCATCTTGTTCGTTAGGAGCAACCTCCTCTTTAAGACAGCCTACATAGATTACTTCTTCATCGTCTCCAAGCCCATCTTTGAGTTGCAAAAGAAGTGAATCTTCATCCCAGCTAAAGCACCACTTCCCCTCATCTTTATTTCGATGTGCTCGAAGTGGAAGTTGGTTTCCCACGATAATCATCCGTTCTTGAGAAATGGAAGAAGGAGCATCAGAACCAACACTGTTGCAGTTATCATCTTCTACCTCGGACAAAAGCAAAGGGACAGAAGCTACTCGAGGAAACCTCTTTCTCTCTTGACTAAGAGTTGGGGAACCACCATAAGCAAGGTCCAAGAGGTTAGAATAAGACCTCGAAGCCATGACAGAAAAGGATAGAAAATTCCTTCTCTTTTCTGATAATTGTAGGGGGGGGAAATCTACAAAGAAAAACACAGCACAACATAATACCCAAGATATGCATGTACCGCAAAAGTTTCAAATTTGAGAAGACATCACTAAGAAGAGTTGTCTTTCCTTGGGAGTTGCAACCTACACTGGTTAGAACTGAACCCCAAAAAGTGCCAGAACAGTTAGGTAACTGTTAGCAGATTAGACATACCAAAAAGCTAAATCGGACAAGTTTTTTAGGCAAATTTACCTCTTGATCTTAATCAACCTCGACCCAGGTAAGTAGCTAATTACACAGAGCGAGGCTGATACATGAAAAAATTAATCAAAATGTACAATCAACCCATCTTCAGAAATAAAAAAAGGTTAAAACTTTGAAGAACGTGCAATGCTAGAAGGAACCAAGTGAGTGGGAAGTGAAATGAAAAGAAGCAAAGTAGATAGTGGCAGGCAAAACAAAGAACAATAAAGGGTTATTGCAGAAGAAGAAAAACGCTTACCTTTGAAGGGTACGAGAGATTCTCCTGGTGCTCCCCCTTTCTCTTTGTGAAGAAGGCAGGGCCCTTTAATTCATGCGAATTCTCATTTGTTACAACAAAAAAGACTTTCTTTCCCTGATGTGTGAAACAACAAATGGGATGTCTTTGAACAAAGCATCTGATGCCTTTTTTTCACTTCTCTGGTGTCGCTTTCTCAATGAGTTGAGTTTGTTGTCTTCATAGTTGTGGTTGAGTGATCAGTAGTGAAGAATGAATAACAGTGAAAGTGGTGAAAACCAATAATAACAACACTCCATGTTGTTTTAACCTTTTAACCATGGTTGGTCTTTTCATTTAAACATAGAATTACTCCTCTAAGTTACTATTACATAAATTCTGACACTGATGGCAGTGGAGATCAACACGTATCCGGACCTCCTTCCATGGTGCCACATTTCTGTTCTTTTCTATTTATTAGAACTATACCGGGCCACTCAAAATTAGCTAAACCAAAGAATCCGATTGCTTTAATAATTTTTGTTCGTTTGCTTTAAATAATATCGGAATCATTACGTTAACCACTTTTAAATTCTTTAACTTCAAAAACCTTTTATTAACCCTCTCAATTATTTAACGTTTGCCAATTTTCTTTTAATTTTACTCTTTAAATTATATTTTTGTCAAAATTTAAAAATTATTTTTTATAAATAAATTACAAATTTAATAACTAAATTGTCTCTTCACTTCTATTTTATTCATGGGACTTTAAAATTTTTCACTTTAATCACTCAACTTTATACATTAGTTTTTCTTGACACTCGACTTTTAATTTTTTAACGACCTTATGGCATATCTCAATTAAATGATTTTTTTAATTATTAATTTCATGTAAAATGAAAAAGGAAATGGTTAAAAATATGAGAAAAATTAAATTTTTAGCATGGAGCCACCTCCTACTCCACCCACCTCCGCTGCTTCTGTTTTCAGCAACAAATTGCAGAAATGGAGGGAAAAGCTTGAAAAGAGAAATGACGGTGGGTCGATTAGATTGCGGATTATGGGTTTGGGAGAAGGTCGTGACACGGATCCGAGGTTTTCACTTGATGTTGGGGGGTGTCGTTTGATGCAGCGAGGATGTCGTATGATGATCAGCGTTTACATAATATGCCGAATCTATCTGCAAAGGGGATGAGTGGCTAAGCTTCCAAAACCAGAGAAGTTTACTATGATGCAGTGCATGTATTTTGATAAATTAAAACAAAGAATTCTTATTGCAATGCAAAAGCTGCAAGACATCCTCAACAAAATCCAAACATAAACTTCAAAGAAAATTGCCACTCCTCAAGGATCAACCAAAAATATCACAATGGATAGCCCATAATCACACGCTATATACTTTAAACTATTAAGTGAACTCCAGTCAGCCATCATGTCTTACAAAGAAACAACAAATCAAATACTTCACTGAAAGGACCGCATTCTTGCTGCAGGGTCCATCTTTAAATTGTCCCTGATCATATTGGACAACTTTCTAGGCTGCCAGTATTATGATCACGATCAGAAGCACAATTCCGAATATCACTAGGAGCAAGCAGGCCTGCACATAAAAGGTAAAGAAACTAAAGTCTATCTTAATCCAGTTTTACATCCAATGCACCATTTTAATTTCATAAAATTAAAGAGAGGACATTGTATGTTACCAGAGAAGAATTTGATCTCTGGCTCTTTGCAGCTTTCACGAGATAGGATTTTGCCTGCGAAGTGGCAGCCTGAGAATTTTCAATATGGGTCCCAATGTCATCTGTAGCAGACATTGACAATCAGTGCTTTTCTACATGATCCAGAAGATCAGAACAACCATTTTGAATTCAATGCGAAAGATAATTCCTTTTACCAATCATAGTTCCTTGATCATGAACTAGCACAGCAAGATCTTTGAAGATCCCGTTCACCTCACCAATTTGCTGCTGAATTTCTTGAATTCCTTGTTCTCTTTCATCAATGATAGCCTCATTAAATGCAATCTCATTATCCAACAGCAAGACCTCTTGTCTGCAAGGAAAAAAAGGCACAAAAGCTAAAGGCCGCTGGTTGGATAATCAAATTTATAGAAATCAATAATAAGATGATACAGCAGATAAACGGTCTAAACAAATAGCATTCAGCAGGAAAAATGGACAATACATGTATATATGCATGGCTTGATTGGGGAATGAATATAATCAATTACCATTGCATAAGTAATAAGAATGCATAATTGAGTGAGACATGATATGACTTGGGATCTTTTGATTAGTTATGATGCTCCATCCAACATATCAAGCAGGCAAGTGTGCTTCTAGACACACAGATCCTGGGAAAAAAGAATTGGCATGGAGGGTTCATACAAATACATAATCCATTTAGATAAGTGATTCAAACTGCATGTACCATGTGGTGGGGATGGCTTGCTAAAAATTCTAAAGCATAACTTACCTTCTTGACTCGACAAGAAGGGCTCTCTGTTCATCACTTTTATCTGAACCAATGTCCATCTCACCCGCCGTATAGCTGCATATAACAGGGGGAAACCTCTAGTATAAGATTGAGAATAACATGCCAAAGCCTAAAGCAAATTGAAGGATAACACGTAACAATTTAAATTTGCAACCTGTATATTGCGGAAAATTAAGTAATCAATATAGATATTTTATAAGTTATTTATTAAAAACATTGCTAATAACTCAATTTTCCATGTATTCCATTAACACAAGCACATTGAATTCACTCTGCTACATATACACGTAAGCGCTCCTATGATATATACCTTGAAGGAAGAACTGCATGAGGAACAGAAGGAGAATATGATGTTTCTCTTTCAGCTGCAAACCGTTGAGCCTTTTGAAACTCTTTCAGAACAGCTTGAAAATCCTTTGCAAGTTTGACATCTGTTATCTTCTTGCTTGCCTACAATGACAAGAAAGGACATAATAACAAAAACAAACATCGGAGCTTCTTGGCTTGGTTGACATAAACAACCAGAAACCAAACTTACGCTAACTTCAGCATTATGATCTGTTTCACTAGCTTGTTTAAGTTTAGCCGAAGTGTCCTTCACTAGTTGCCCAATATGTAGCCTTGTTTTATGCCTGCCGAGTGAGACATATAAGCAATACTGCCCACTTATATGATATAATTAGCATAGTTAAAATCACTCAAGAAAATAGACATCAACTGTTTCTCATGCAATACAAGCATGCAGACTTAAAAAATAATCAAGAAAATCCCACATTCCATTCAAGAAACGTCACGTCCATCCAAACAAAGATGATAATTCTCTAAGCTTTCTCCAACGGAAAGTCGAATTGAACTATAACAGGGGAATAATTTGTCATCCCTAATTGGGTTTCCAATCAAAGTTTAATCGTAAATGAGTAATCTTGATTCAGAATTAAAATAAGATTGAACATTAATCACATGAACAGTTAAAATTGCAACCGGGGGCAATTGAATTGAGCAAGACTAACAGCTTTTCTCGGAGCTCAGGCGTGTCCTTAGGAGTGCCCAGGGTATTGACGAGTCGCTGGAAGGTGGAGACGGCTGTGTTGATTTGGAAAATGCCAGAAGCCACAGCTTGCGAGGCGTCTTGCTTTCCATTGATCAGGGATTGCCTCGACGCATACGACCGTCCAGCTTCCAGATCTTGAAAGCTCATGATTGCTCCTTCTCTGTATCTGTCTTTCGTAAAAAATCCTAACTTTCCCGAGAAAATTTCATCTAGAGAAAGGAATGGGAAAACAAGAGGAACAGATGGGGGGAGGGGATATTCAATTGCACGGTTAGAAAAAACACGAGGGAAATTTGGTGAACAAAGGAGCCCAAGAACAGGGCGAGAATTGAGGCACCGCGACACAGAAATATAAAAGATACGGAATGGAATTTGACGTATTCAGAATAAGATATTTGCTTTTTTTCCTTTTTTAGAAAAGGGTAAACTACCAGAATGGTCACTTAGCTTTTGTATTCATATCCTTTTGCTCACCAAATTCAAAAAAACCTGAGTTTTGATCACTTAAATTATAGTCATTGAAACGTTTAATGCCGTTAATTTGATGACATGAAATATCAATAAAAAAAAGTTTAATTTTTAAGCAGCCTTCAGGAACATAGGTGATCCTCAAGTGCTGTAGTGAAATTGGAATAATGTCTAGTCATTTGTTGAACCAAAATCAGTCGAATTGTCGGTTGATCAACATATTGGGTAGCTTTTTTGGTATCATCATCCGATCCAGTTGGTTTCATCAAGTCCAGAGTTACAGAGGGTTGTTGGATAGGAAATGAATTACTCAAAAGTAACCAACAATGTTGTTCTCGGTAGTTCTTCGAGTCCTTTCCTACACCCCCGCATAAAGCACAAAAGCCCCGGATAACCCTACTAAGCCACACTATCAATATGGATCTAGGAAGAAGCTCCAACCAATTGATCTGACGCTATTATTTAATAATCTAATGCCACACACATGAAGTTATGCACAAGAAAGTGAAAACATGGTTTCTAAAATAAAATTGAAAAAAGAATATAAAACTATATCGGACTCTCATCGTTGTCATCTTAGTGGGCGCTTATATAATGCGAACCAAAAGGAAGGCTAAAGGGCTAAAGTCAAACCAGTAGTTCCCCACAATACACCACTACTCGGCAGCGTATTCTTGACCTCAAGCTAGCGAGTTGTACATTCGAAAACTATGGCATCCATCGATGATTGGCCACTACTGTTTATTCAACACTCCTCTTCATAATTGTAACAACAAACTTTAGAGAAAATTACGAATAAACTCAAAGAAAAAAATAACAATGCAAGAGGATTTACGAGAACCATTCTGAATTCCCTTGTATAGCAAAATGAAGTGGAACATCCCAAACAGTCGAAACAATGTGCCACTGCACCACGCCAAACATAAGGTTTTGTGTATTTGAATCATCAAGTCATTCAATAAGTAATAATTGCAACGTTTTCGCAAGAATGTCCTATTAAAGTTTTGTAACGGTCAACGGCCAGGTCTTGGGTTAAGTCATTTTATGACATTCTCTCTCCTAAGAGGTGTTATACCCCGCCAAAAATTCTTTGAACACACTATTATCATGTCTCACAATTGTCGGAGGACTCTAGAGCATTTGTAAATCTCTGGGGTCTCGAAACTCCGAACAAACATAAAAATGATATTGAATACCTAATATCCATTGAAAAGTCGTAATTAACTG